CCTTATAAATGTTCTGCCAAAGCAATCTCTCTCCATTCATTCACCTTCCTCGTCTCCTCTCCCCTAATCCCCAAATTTCACTTCATAACAAAAAAAAAATCAAACCTTTTTCCGTTTCATCGAAGCATACTCACCGACACAGAGATTCCACCTCGACTATGGCGAAGAAAGCAAGAATTGTGATCATTGGAGCCGGAATGGCTGGTCTCACGGCGGCTAACAAGCTCTACACGAGCTCCAACAACAACATGTTCGAGCTCTCCGTCGTTGAAGGTGGCTCTAGAATCGGAGGTAGGATCAACACCTCCGAGTTCTCCTCCGAGAAGATTGAGATGGGTGCTACTTGGATCCATGGAATCGGTGGAAGCCCTCTTTATAGAATCGCTAAAGAGACTGGTTCTCTTGTCTCCGACGAGCCATGGGAGTGTATGGATTCCACCATTGATAAACCCAAGACATTCGCTGAAGGTGGGTTCGAGATTCACCCTTCGATTGTCGAACCCATCTCTGGATTGTTCAATGCTCTCATGGAATTAGCTCAGGGGAAAGAGATCTCTCACACCGACGCCGATTTCGCTCATATTCACGAAATTGCCACTAGGTTTTGCTCTTCTCGTTTCAATGGAACTAGCGTTGGTTCGTTTCTGAAATCTGGCTTTGATGCTTACTGGGATTCAATCAGCAATGGAGGAGAAGGAGAGAATGGAGTCGAAGGATTTGGAAAATGGAGCAGAAGATCTCTTGAAGAAGCCATTTTTGCTATGTTTAGCAATACGCAGAGGACTTACACATCAGCCGATGAACTCTCGACGCTGGATTACCCGGCGGAGAGTGAGTACCAGATGTTTCCAGGAGAAGAAATCACCATAGCTAAAGGCTATCTCAGTGTTATTCATCATTTGGCATCTGTTCTTCCTCAAGGTCTTATCCAATTGAATCGAAAAGTAGCGAAGATCGAGTGGCAGAGTAACGAAGATCGTCCTGTGAAGCTGCATTTCTCAGATGGGTCTATTGTTTTAGCAGATCATGTTATTATTACTGTCTCTTTAGGTGTTCTTAAAGCAGGGATTGAGATTGATCATGAACAAGGAGGAGGATTGTTTAGTCCTCCTTTGCCTGATTTCAAAATCGACGCTATTAAAAGGCTAGGCTACGGAGTTGTCAACAAGTTGTTTGTTGAAATGTCTCAGAGAAACTTCCCATCTCTGCAACTTGTGTTTGACCGTGAGGATTCCGAGTTTAGGTTCGTGAAAATTCCGTGGTGGATGAGAAGAACCGCGACCTTAGCACCGATACACAGCAATTCAAAGGTCTTGCTTTCTTGGTTTGCAGGCAAAGAAGCTCTCGAGCTTGAGAAACTAACCGATGAGGAGATCATAGACGGTGTCTTGACCACTGTCACTTGCTTGACAGGCAAGGAAGTGAAGAAAGACACCGCAAAAACTCCAAGGCCACTGATCAATGGCTCTTTGAATGAAGATGATGAAGTCATGACAATTACGAAGGTCTTGAAGAGCAAATGGGGAAGTGATCCTCTCTTCCGCGGCTCGTATTCGTATGTTGCCGTAGGATCAAGCGGGGATGACCTAGACGCTATGGCTGAGCCATTGCCAAAGATTAACAAGAAGGGTGGTCAAGTGAATGGTCATGATCAAGCCAAGGTTAATGAGCTTCAAGTGATGTTTGCAGGGGAAGCAACACATAGAACTCATTACTCCACAACTCATGGAGCTTACTTTAGTGGCTTAAGGGAAGCCAATAGGCTTCTCAAGCATTACAAATGTGATTTTTGAGTGTTAATTCTATGAATATGTTTTCTTTTCTTTTTTGGATCAATTTGTTTAGAGAAGCTTAATTAGTTTTGTATGA